TACCAAGTTGACGACGCGGCCAATGGTCGTCGGCGTGCCGGGAGAGGATTCTAGCAGGCCGGCTTTGCTGAGGCCGCCGTGGATGTTGCCGATGACGGTGTCGAGGACGCCGAATTTGGGGTTCTGGATGGATTCGAGCTCGCGCCGTGTCCAGTCCATTGTGTAGAGGATGCTGTGGAGGATTAGTGGTTGGATTCAAAAAAAAAAAAAGCGCGGCGCATGGATGACGTACGAATCCATGTCTCCATCCACATTGGTGAAGAAGCTGCGAATCTTGTCGGAGAGGACGCGCAGGCTGATGCTGAGGCCATCTAGCTGGTCTACAATGACGGTCGAAGCGGACATGTTGGTCGCGCGCACACTCTCGCCGAGGTCCTGAACGGCGACACTGGCTTCGCCCAGCTCGCGCGACCGTGGTATGACATTCTCCGAGGCATAGAGGAGGGGTTCAAACTGGCGCGCCATGTTGGCGACATTTGCGACATCTGGTATCAGCGTGGCCGTCCATGGATGTACGAGGAGCCAGGAGAGGAAGAGCATGGCGAGGGTGCAAACGAGACTTGCTCTGGATTTTGTGAAGACGCGCGTGATGCTCGCAAAGGTGGATATGGTTTCTTCGATTGGCGCGGTGCGGAACAGGGTCTCGCCTCGAAAGGCAAGGCGGAAGACTGTCCAAGGGGTTAGTGGGCAGAGCGCATGCTCGTGTCGATGTACCTACAACCATCTGTCTGCTCTGGGTCTTCGCTATGCAACACGTCATCGTCGTAATTGTGGTCGTCGTTGGCGGCGTCTTGTTGTTGTTGTTGTTGGGCGCGGCTGCGCAGGTCTGGTTCATGCGACGGGCTCTGCAGTCGCGAGGCAATGTTGTCGGGCAGCTGAGCGCGCTCTTCCTCTGCAATGGGCTCGGGACTTGTGCGCGGCGTGTGCTTGAGGGGCGAGTCGGGGAGTGGGATGCGCGAAGGGGTGATTTCGCGGTCGGTGCGGTAGAAGGAGGGTGAGCGCGACAGGCTGCCCCGCGATGCGCTTTCCCCGAGCAGCGACTTGCGGTACCAGTGATTGCTCGAGTGCGACTTTTGCCAGGCGGGCGGGGCCCAGGGACCGTCTGATTCTGGCTCCGAGTCCCCGTCCTCCTGCGGTGTGCTCCAGCGCGACGAGTGCATGTTGGAGCGACCGCTGTAGGCCGAATGCATGCTGCGCTCTGGGTCAAAGGCTTCGAGGGAGGCGCTTAGCGAGGGTATGTCATGGTCGTAGAGGCTGCCGCGATCCATTGTCTCGAGCATGGCTCTTTGTTTTGTTTTGTTTTGTTGTGTGAATTCCGTGTTGCCTGTTTGGTCGCGAGGATGTTGGGAAGAAGAGGGGATCGGGGGCGGGGGATTGGATGGAGGACCAGCGGCTGGGATCAGGTTGGAAGCCGGTCACTTCTAAGTTCTCACAGGGTCGAGGCTCTGTATGCACGAGGGTGGGAGGGGCCCTTGTGACGCGTGTGGATGTGTGTGGGTGCGGGTAATGTGTGTGTGTGTGTGTGTGTGTGTGTGTGTGTGTGTGTGTGGGAGAGAATGGACAGCCAACGTGTTCCCTGGCAGAAGGAGGGTGAAACGGAGTGGCTGGTCAGAGTCCACTCGAGCGTGGGGAGACTTTGGTTGGCTGTCGTGAATGGCTTGCTCCACTCGCGGCCTAGTGCGGGGAATTGGACTTGCATGACCTGCATCCTCCCATCCTCCCATGTACCTACAGTCCATCCATGATCATCGGCCATTCACCCACCTTGCAGCACGACTACGACTACTACGACTACGACTACTACGACTACGACTACGATTACTACGACTACGACTACGACTACTACTACGACTACTACGACTACTACGACTACTACGACTACTACGACTACTACGACTACTACGACTACGACTACTACTACCTATCCATCTACCTAGCAGTACTCTAGTATCCACCCAACCCACTGCACATTCCCTTGTTTCCCGTCCCCCCCCGACATCAGTCCCTTGCTTGAGAGAGTGGTTTGCTTGTTGTCCACAACATAGCGGTCCATGGGCCCAACGGAGGATGGTTGATACGCCATCCTCCTCCTCCCAACGCGTCATGGCCCAAAAGGGCGAGTAGAGTCGGCGGCGGGGTGTCGTGGGGGGGGGGGGGGCTGGGATGGGGGCAAGGGAAGAGCGAGCGCCCGGGGGTTGTACCTTCCGATTGGCTGAAGAGGCGCATGCACAAAGTCAGGTGCACAATCGATAAGTGACTTGCACTAACCTCCCATTGGCCTTGGCCTTGTCCCTTGTCCCTTGTCCCTTGTCCCTTGTCACTTGTCACTGGTCCCTTGTCCCTTGTCCCTTGTCACTTGTCACTTGTCACTTGTCACTGGTCCCTTGTCACCCTATCCTCTCTCCTTGCTCTCCCAAAGAACTGCCCACAGAGTACTCTAGACCAGACCTCCCAGCGCTGTCTGCATCATACCCTCTCTTGTTCTTCTTCTTCTTCTTCTTCTTCTTCTTCTTCTCGGCAATGAAAAACCTAGTGATTGCCCACAAAGTAGAATTGAATGCAGCAGTGTAGAGACACCAAGTTTGGACTATTCCTAGAGTACTATACCCATCGTGTAGAGAGTGTGTACCGCCAACACTCCACCGCCCTATTTCCCGGCTATTTCCGCCCGCCAAGCACACCCACCCATCAACCACTCACAACCAATCGACCATCTCTCTTCTGCTCATCTTGCCCAACCTACTACTCTCTACTCTTACACGCTCTCTCACATGCCCACCCAACCCTTCCACCAAAGCCTCCAAGCCAAGGCTAGGGTCGGGAATCTGTACCCTAGCCTACCACCAAACTGCGCATCCCCGATAACAGACGTCGCAATCGATTGCTACCCTCGCGATAAGACCGCTTGCGATCGGAAGTCGGAGCACGGGGCGGGACAAAGCTTGGAAGGAGGGACCCTGGGTTTTGGCTCTGGGTTTCGGCTAACCTTCCTCATCTACGGGACGGCTATCGTTAACGCTCGAGGACCTCGCCGTCGCTTGTACAAAGAACTGTAGAGAGAATAGGTAGACTCCAACTTCGATACACGAGACGAATATAGGCTTCGGCATTCTCTATTCACATACACATGCACGTGGGAACTGGGAACTCTTTGCTGCCTGGTCCGTATCTTGAGGGCAAGGGAGGATTTGATGCATGTCTTCTGTCAAAATTTGACCTCTTGTCGCCTGGCATGAATTATCCAACCTTTGGACGTGACAAGGCGGATATGAATACCGCGTTCCCTTGGCCAGTCCCGTCCACAAGCTGCCCTCTCACATGGCACTTGTCATCTCGACTCGCACCCGTCCAGCACCAGAATTCCGCACGCCTGCCCCCCCCCAGCCGAATTTTTCTCTCCTCAAAATCTCATGTACTCCCCTTTGACATATCCATATGCTCTCCCTGCCCCGGCAACTCCACAGCTTCCACATGGAGATCACGTCCGCCCTGCAACTCCACCGGCCCATGGCTGGCATCCCAGAGATAACTCTTCTGCGCATCTCTCGAGTTGTACGTATCCAGCGCCGCGTCGTCTGAGAATGCGTTTTCGCCGTGGGGAACGTGGTCTGGGGCCGACGTTGCTTGTCGCTTGGCTCCGTGCTTGCGTCGTATGAGGACGATTCCGAGAATGGTGAGGCAGATTACGGTCAGGCCGCTAATGGCTCCTCCTACTATAGCTCCGATGTTCAGGGGCTCTGGGTTGGGTGGTGAGGATGTGGAGGAGGGGGTCGTGGATGGGGTGAAGCTCGATGTAGGGATGGGAGATGGTTTTAAGCCTGTGCCTGTTGGTGGCGAGGTCGAGCTTCCCAGAGAGATGCTGGGTATAGAGGTGGAAGTGGATGAGATTGTTGATTTTGTCGTTGTTGCCTCTGTGGACTTTGGAAATTGAAAGAGAGTATCCGTTCGAGCTTCTGATCCACACTCAATATTATCAAACGACTCATCAGACCCATGAATCAACACCGCCGTCGAACAAAACCACAAAGGTGCACTAATCCCGCCTTAGCTCTCCAAACACTCCCATCGATATCAACGAAGCAGAAAAAAAAAGTCGCAGGATTCACTCACCATAGAAAAGTAGTAATACCCGGGTAACCCGATAGCCGGCCACACCCCCCACTGCAAGAATACCTATCCACGCACACACCAGCGAAACCGCACTCCTCCACTGAGACCACGGTAGTTGAACACGCTCCCCATAAACCATGTACAGTGTCGAAGCGGCATTCATAGCCCGGATATGGTACCCAAGAGCTCCGAGGATCACCATCCTCGAATCCACAAATCGTTGCCGCATGTGAAGCTGTCGCCATGCTCAACACGACAAAACCACATAGAATCAACATCGCACCCGGTAAAAGATAGCAGAGCGCGGGGAAACCGAAACCGAAAACGAACACGAAACCAAAAAAAAAAAAAAAAAAAAAAAAAGTAAAAAAAAAAGTAACGGTGATGTCTACACTTCACTCACAGGTTGGGGAAAAAAAAACCCAAGCCATGATTTGTGTAAGTGTTGGGGGGGGTTGGTGGTCTTCTGACTACGCCGTAGTATCACAGGTGCTGAGATACACAACATTGATAATTTCATAGAGCTATGTGATATGTGCTCTAAGCGCTTGCTTCTCTTTCTGGCTTAGTGAGATGTTGTTTGGAGGGTATGGGTGGTGTTTGCCGTGCTTGTGCGCTTGCGAGACAGCACGATGACCAAGTGGCACAGTTGGTTTGGTGTGTACTCGTACTTGCCTTTACTTTTGACACCTCCGCGGTCGTGGAGGTGGTTTATTTGTGAGCGCTCTGATATCGGGAAGGGGTTTTCTGGCCATTGAGATTGTCTGGGTTTTGTACGGTTGATTCAAGGAGCTTGCGATTGCAAAGACCAAGTTTTCCATCTCGGGGTCTGGTTTGAGGATATATAGGAAGGCGTGTAAGGTTCAGTGAGGTGCCAGGGCGGGGATTATGGTAACATTTGAGAAGCCAAGGGCATGGTGCTCATGTGCTATGTTTAACGTTAGCAGGAACCCTCGCTCTACGCATACGTATACACACCCAGCCAACAACGCGTCTTGTGCGGCCTAAGTTGACACGCCGCGGG